ACCCACACACACACATACCTACACATGAAAGATATATATTGTCCCAGTGTCCTATACAGGACAATCTGCATTTTTTATCTTCATGATAATAAAGGATATATAAGCTCTAGATTATTATTTCCAACCTATTTTAATGCATCTGTGTCAATTTTGTTGAAATAAATGCAGAATTGACAACTTGGGACTTAATGACTTAGGGTAAATTCATCCCATTTGGATAGCTGAAGTTCCAAAACCCCTGCACAGCTATGAGTTCATGGTTACCAGTGGCTCTTTGATCCTCAGCTGGGATGAAGTTCTTCTGTCACCCATGTCCCCAGATTTTTGGAAATATAGATTTGTTGGTGGTACTAGGGATTGAACCCAGGGGTGCTCTACTACTGAGCTATAACCCCAACCCTTCTTATTTTGCATTTTGAGACAGGGACTCCCTTAATTGCCCAGGCTGGCCTAGAACTTTCGATCATTCTGCCTCAGACTACCAAATTGCTGAGATTACATGTGTGACCCCTGTGCCTGGTGGAAATACAGGTTTTGGCATCCTGCCTGGCCTACAGAAGGCAGTTGTGGGAGTAGATGACACTACCCAAGAACACATGGCATGAAAGGGTGGACCCAAGATTGAGCCCTGCGAGGCACGGGAAGGAACGGAGGGGCAGTGCAATTGTGTTCCTTGAGTGCTTACTAAATTCCAGGCTTTGATGTTCATCTCACTGAAATTTCACAATTAATCGATAAGGTAGATAGTTCTGCCTCACTTCCCCTGCCCCAACAAATGAAATAGACTCAGAAGTTGGGGAGGACTAGGAGAAATTAAGTGAGATTTTTCTTCAGGGCAAAATGTTGCAGATGAATCAAATAGAATAAGAAATGTGGAAAAAATTGTCACACATTTACCCATCAAGATTTAACTCAAATTGTGTCATACTGAATTTGATCATGAATTTTTTATTGCTTCCTCTGATACCTCATATTCAAAACAGAAGAAAAGCAACAACACAAAACCCTTGAGTATGCAGTTGGGAAGCAAGGCCTAGGGTGTTCTTTGCCTAAAATCTTGCTATGTTCACATTAGTCATACTTTGTAGATAACATGAAAAGGAGCAAAATTGTTGACTCAATGTGCCGTAATGGTCTCTGAAGTTTTTAGATGAAAGAGCTGAGTTACTGTGGACCAAAATCTCCCACTAAGCAACTAAATTACAAGAAAAATATCATGAGACTGACCCCTGGAATTAACTAGTGACAAAGGTATTTTAGAGCAAAGAAGCATAAAGAATCTTGCTAAAGGGGTGGGGACATAGCTTAGTTGGTAGAGTGCTTGCCTCTCAGGCAAAAGTCCCTGGGTTCAATCCCCAGCACCAAAAAAAAAAAAAAAAAAAGAAAAGAAAAGAAAAGAAAAAGAATCTTGTTAAGGGCTGGGGGTGCAGCTCAGTGATAGAGTACCTGCTTAGCATGCATGAGGTCCTGGGTTCCATCTCCAGCACAACATGCACAGAACAAAACAAAGAGTCTTGTTAATAAAACCTTTATTTGGTTTACATTTCAAATGTAATGTAAAAATTTTATAAGCCAGAAAATTTAATAGTGTGAGAGCAAGGAGAAACTATGCTAACGCACAACATTTATTTAGAATAAATCAAAAATTTGATTTTTTGGGAGTCACATCATCATAAGTAAACATATCCATCATATTTCACTTGCAAAAGATGGAGAAGAACTTGAGTTGAAGAGGTGTTTGTTGATTTTAGTTGCTTCGGTAAAAGCTCTTCACCTAGAGAGGACATACAAATAACAGTTTTGAATTTTCTCAATCCATACTTTAATTTTCAATTAACTTTTAATTTCAGAATCATTTTATGATTAGTTGTAAAGAAAATAAAAAGAGGTTTCCATATACACTGCGCCCAGTTTTCCTGTTGGTTAATATTATATGCTACTATGATAGACTTGTTATAAATAATGAACCCAAATAGATTATTATTAATCAAACCTTACTTTATTCAGATTCCTCAGTTTTTACCTAAGGTCCTTTTTCTGTTCTTGGATCCTGTCCAGGATACTATATTACATTTAATTGTTGTATTCCTTTACTCTTCTTTAAACTGAGTTTCTCAGATTTTCCTTGTTTTTGATGACTTTGACATGTTTTTGTTGTTGTTTTTATTTTTGTTTTGGTACTGGAAATTTAACCCAGGGGTGCTTTACCACTGAGCCACATCTCCAGTCTTTTCTATTTTGAGACAGCATCTTGCTAAGTTTCTGAAGTTCTCACTAAGTTGCCGAGGCTGGCCTCAAATTTATGATCCTCCTGCCTCAGCCTTCTGAGTCTCTGGGATTTGAGGATACTGGTCAAGTATTTTGTAGAATGTGCCCTAGTTTAGTTTGTCTGTTGTTCTCCTTGTGGTTAGACCAGAGGTATGGAGTTCCGGGAGGCATACCACAAAGGTCAAGAACCATTCTCATAACATCATTTCTGGGTTGCAATCCATCAACATGGATTATCACTGTTGAAGGTAACTTTGATCACTTGGCTGAGGTAGTTTTCTCAGGTTTCTCCTTTGTATGCTTGTTTGCCTGGCTTTCCATATTGTTCTTTGGAAGGAAGTCACTATGCAAACCCACACTTAAGAGGAAGGGAATCAAGTTCCATTCCCTTGAGGGAGAAGGTACCTACACAAATTCTTGGAGGGGTTTTTTGGTTTGGGATTTTCCTTTTGTGGTACTGAGAATTGAACCCAGGGCATTTGACTACTGAGCTACACCCCAAGCCCTTTTTATTTTTAGTTTTAAAAATTTGAGACAGGATCTTGAGAAGTTGCTAAGGCTGGCTTTGAACTTGTGATCTTCCAGCCTCAGCCTTCTGAGTAGCTGGGGTTACAGGTGTGCACCACCAGCACAGCAAATATCTGGAGTTCTATGTGGGAGATTGTACTCTTTTTCTATAGGGAAATCCTCCTGCCACCTCTTCGCTCTCAAAATTTCCAATTTTCCCTGCCCTCAACACTCACCCTTTTTTCAAATTAATTGTATTCAATTATTTATATCAGTATGGCCTCATATATATTTCTTTTAAATTTTACCTTTCTTTTTTTTTTAATTTTACCTTTCTTGATAATATGATAGTGTTGATTACAATCGAATACTATATTATTTTGTTACTCAAATTGTTCCAGTTTTGGCTATGGGAAGCCTTTTCAGTTGGTTCCTATGTCCCTTTGTCCCAATCTATTCTGCCTTTTCTTTCTTTCTCTCCTTCTCCTCTTCTTTAGCTGTGTGGAGGAAGTCTCAGTGTGTTTTAATATGTCTTCATTCTTTGCTCTTTGTCTCTCTTATTCTGTTTTAGATATTTTTATTTCTAGTTTTAGTGTCAATTAATAATGTAGGGTCCAAATTGATGATCAGGGGTCAGGACCACCAAGATATTTTACTTTAAACCAATTCAAAGATTCAGTGAGATAATTTCCCTGCGGTTGACAAAAACTAGTTCAGATGTCAGGACTCATTATTATGTGTGTGGATACATATTGTACCCACCTTATTTTATGTATTTAACAGTGTTGCAGTGGCCCATACTTTTGCTTCTGGCCTCATTCTGTCAGTCTCAACTATATACTAATCTCAGCTGATCATTTCTTAAGTTACTTCTATTCACTTGAAGTCTGTAGTAACTCCCCAAAGCTTACTGAGTCATTAACTTGATATTCAAGACATCATATGCCAAGGCCCCAACTACCTCTTAAAAATCTTGTATTTTTAAGGGATTTGGAAAAGGGGAGGGAGAGGGGAAGTGCTGGAGAGTGATAGTGGCTAAATTATATTGTTCTGTTGCGTGCATGGACAAATATGTAACAATAAATCTCATCATTATGTGCGGCTATTATGCACCAATAAAAATGTGGAAAGAAAACAATGTTTTGTATTTCTCAGTATTTTCCTACTTATACCATATATTCTAGGCAAGTTGGACCTAAGCTCATAAAGATGTTTTTCATTTTTTTGGTGGGGGTGGAGGGTCTACGGATTCACTAATGTTGCTGATCAAAAGCAACAATTCATATGTATTAATTTTATTCACATTTTCTGTCAGTGATACTGTTTGCCCCATCTGGTCCACTTCCACTCTTGTCTACCCTGCTGTAGGTCATAGGAAGCTGACCCGTGACCTAGAGCAATTCTTTGCAGCCCTCTGCCTTTTTGATGGGTTCAGCCAATGGGAAGCCCACAAGGACAGAAAGCTTCCCTTGACCCCATCCTGGGAGGTTGACTCAGGCCGCACTTATTCCTCTGTTGAGCGGTTACTGTTCCTCTAGGGCAACCTCCTCACTCAGTTCTCTCCTTGGAGAACAGGTAACTGCTCCCTCCTGGCCTCCTGGGCTGGGGAGGCGGGAGGTAACCACCGAGCTGTTGCCAGGCAGATGATTGCATCATCCATTCATTTCCCTATGCCTCCTCCACCAGCACCTTTGCCATTAGCCTCCATTAAATCCTATCACAGTCTAGGTTTCACTTATTCTTGTTAGATAACATACTTCCTCTTTAGAATTAAAAATCACTTCTTTCAAGAAACTTCCATTCATTCATCTCAGAAGTGCGATCTCTTCTTCCTCTGAACATAAAACAGCACTCTGTCTAGAGGTGTGCATCAAATTCCTCATTGTATTTGGGGGATTGACTAATCCCTTCTTTTTGAGTACAAAATCTATAAAGTCAGGGGGAACAGTTAATTTATTTTTGTCTACAACATCTAGCAATATAATACATAGTATTAGATATTTGACACATTATTTGCTAAACAAATGAGCTTTTTTTTTTTTTAATGTATTACCCAAGAATTGTTTTTGTTAACTTACACGAAGTCCTCACTCCAGACAGGAAGTGCGATATTACAAAGAATGGAAAAAGTATTGTTTTTTCTTATACTCAAAGTGTAATCTTTGAAGGTAACTGACAAATTTTTGTTGATTTCTCCTTAACTACATCCTTGATAGCTAATCCTGGGGAAAATTAGTGGAAAAAGACTTGATTGAATTTTAGATGGTGAAATTCTATAGAACATTTCCAAATATTCTAAATTCTATATCCACCCATTTCAAAGTCCACCTTCTCTAAAAGGATGGTTTTTCTATTTGCTTTTTCATATTTTTTATTAATTTTTTTCATATTTGTTTATTAATGTTTTTATTTGGGGTATTTGTATGTTTAGTTATAAGATGATATATTTTATGAGGTCTATAAGTCATTTTCTTAGAAATATACATTTGTGTTTATAGACATTTGTATAAAATACTGCACATGTAGTTTTTATTCTATGAGTGAGGCACACAACTTGGGCAGATAGGGCTGTGTGTACATATGAATAAACTTCTGTTTATACACAAACATTTATACGATTATGTACATGTTTCTAGTCATCCCATCAATAAATATATTGAAGTATGTCTATATGTGTAAATAGTTCTCAAACAAAGCTAATTTTGCTGAGGAGGCCTTTCGGGTTTCTGTCTAGCACGAATGACCTGAGGCATCTGGAAATCTACCAGGGCAGATGGCTGTGTGTCTTGTCTGGCCTGACACCACAGGATGTATCTGTCCAGCCTGACCTGTTTAGCTTTACCTCACTAGATAGATGCTTTACGCCACAATCAAAATGATCCAGATCTATAATTTTTATTTGCTGTTCCATCTTATAATTATTAGTTTCTTTTATCAAGTTTTTTTTTTTTTGTCTTAGGGAGTGAATTTTCTACTTCTTTTGTTTCACCATACTTTGGTGAAACAATGGTAATAGTATTTCACAGGTGGTAATTGCTTCACTAATTGAGCAATATGATTCTATGGAGTTTAGAAAACTCACCATTCCTTTATTTACTAAAATATGGTTCAGAGAATACATAAGAAGACATTAAAATCCACCTTTTATTAAGATAGCACTTTGGGAGACTTAAAGAATTGTTATAACTGAATTATTATTCTAACAATAAATGATTTACAAAAACCTGAAACATACTTCTAAACCCCACAGACTCTGGGAGGAGTGTTGGTATCAACTTACCACCAGCTTCTTTAGAAAGCATTCATGGCTCTCCTCCTGTTGATATCTCTCTTGATTTGGCAAAGGGAACAAACAGGGCAGCAGATAGTGGCCATGTAGTCATCACAAATAGATCCCTGTTTGAAAACACAAAAGAAATAGAAATGTAACCTGTGGATTTTCAGGCATCTTGAAAAGCAGACGGCACTGATCCTTCAGATTCAATTTGGATGGATATGTTCAGGAAAATGTTCACTGATTTTTTTCTGTATAACTCTAGTCTCCATAACATACAAAATGTTCTCCTTTTAAATTCTGAGAGTACAAGAAAATATCCAACCAAATGGTAATGGCATGTTATCACAGCAGAGAAATCTAAATCCATCCTACCCATGGGTGACCAAATTGTTTTTTTGTTTGGTATTTACTGAGTGTGTGTGTGTATGTGTGTGTGTGTGTACATGTGTGTGGTTTTAATTTTATTATAAAATTTTCTTCTTTCTGTTGAATAGATCTTTCCCAGGTCTGTTTGTTTCCTTTAAGATTTTTCACAATTTATTTTTATCTAATTAATGATTACCCTTAAATTTTTATCCACAGTTTGTATTTATATTTATCTCTCTATCAATGTCAAACAAGATATAGTCTTTAGGACTGATACTTCTATTTCTTCTTCTTTTCATTTCCAAAGTTTTGTTAAGACCAGCTGAAATTTCAGTTTCAGATGGTTATTAATTCTTCAAACCCCTAAGGAATATTTAAAAGGCATTATTACTAGACCTTTAAACATCTTGATAACTTTCATATTAAAAAGTCATGTCAGGGCTGGGGTTGTGGCTCAGTGGTAGAGTGCTTGCCTAGCATGTGTGAGGCAGTAGGTTCAATCTTCTGCACCACATAAAATAATTTAAATAAAGTTATTGTGTCCATGTACAACTATAAATATTTTTTCTAGATAATTAAATTGCATACAAAGAGGTTCACTTTTCACTTTATATACTTCTGTGTTTGAATTTGAAATAAAATTCTTTCTTTTTTTTTCTCTCTCTTTTTTTTTTGTACCAGGGATTGATCCCAGGGCACTTAATCACTGAACCACATGCTTAGCACCCCACCCTTTTTTACAAAAATTTAAATTTTGACACAGGTCTTGCTAAGTTGCTTAGGGTCTTCACTAAGTTGCTGAGGCTGGCTTTGAACTTGGAATTCTCCTGCCTCAGCCTCCTGAGCTGCTAGGATTAAAGGCATGCATCACCTTGCCTGGCTGTCATAAACTTCTATAGCATGTAACTTAAACACAGATAAATATTTTTAAATGAAAAGATAAAATAATCTTGATGGAATGAAATAAGTTCCTAAGAATCTGCTTATTCATTTGTTCCCTGTGGTACTTGGCTAGGCCATGGTACCCAGATATTTGGCTCAACATTTCTTTTCTTTTTGGGTACCAGGGATTGAACTCAGGGACACTCAACTACTGAGCCACACCCCCAGACCTATATTGTATTTTATTTAGAGGCAAGGTCTCACTGAGTTACTTAGTACCTCACTTTTGCTGAGGCTGACTTTAACTCCCAATCCTCCTGCCTCAACCTCCCTAGTTGCTGGGATTATAGGCATGTACCACCATGCCTGGGTGTCTCAACATTTCTTTAGATGAAATTAACATTTAAATCAGTAGACTTTGAATAAAGCAGAATACCCTCCATAATGGGCCTCATCCAATCAATTGATGAGATTAATAGCGGGGGGGGGGGGGGGGGGGGGGGGGGGGGGGGGGGACTGTTTTCCCCTTAGCAAGGAAGATTTCACAAGAACACCTCCTGTGGACTTGAATTCCAGCTCTTCCCCATGTCTCTAGCCTGCCTCCAAAATTGCATAATTGCTTGTCAGCCTCCATAATTGCATGACCCAATTCCTTAAAATGAATCTCTCCCTTTTTTGTTCTCACTCTCTCCTTATATACATACACATATATACAGGGAGGCATATAAATGTAAATATATATAAACATATACATACGCACACTATTTTTCTCTATGTTAAATATAGAGATATATGTGCATGTACACACATGTATCCATGCTCATGCGATTGCTTGTTGCTCTGTAGACCCTTAAATAATAAACTCTTCTGCTGCACAGAGTGAAGTAGGTGTAATGGAAGGTGCATGTATGGACTGTTCATGGACAGACAGTGGCTAACTCTGCTACTAAGGCATAGCTTTGGGCCTCATTTGTACATATTGTGAACCCACTTTATAGGGATGGTGTGAAGATTTAGTGAGGTGACCTAATGCACTTCGGACATAGTAGGTTCTAAATTATCCTCCTACATTATACTATATACATTGCAAAAAGAGAATTAATTGTTCTCTAATGTTTTCAGCAGAAACCTGGAAGGAAGTCACATAATCAGAGCACAGGTGCTAGGGAATTCCTACCCATCAATCTCAGATGAGGTATGCCATCAAACAGCCTCCATGTTTACCACAATTATTTTGAATGTGGTACCATATTTGAACACTAAGGGAATCATAAGAGACTCACAGGGATGCCATATCGGGTTCGGTAGAGAGTCCTCATTGCGACAGTTGTTCCACAAAGACAGCATTCATTCATGTCAGCTGCAACTTGACACCCGAGGCACACGAAACAAAATGTGCCACAGAGACCTGGATGCATGAAAGCAGGGGTACAAGTTACTCCGGGCTGCCTCCATCACAGCAGAAAATGTGTTCACTTCCTTGAATAGCAGGCCACGCCATGGGATCTTTGCCATGTACCGTGCTGCCATGTTCATCTTCAGCATTTCTGTTTGGCTTTCCATCAGCTTCTCCCAAACCCAGATCATCTCAGAAATGACCGCCCTTTGAATGTATGTTATTCTTTCACTATAGTGCCTTTGTCCACTAGTCACTGGTCCACCAACACTTAGCCTTGTTCCACCCATCATGCTCAGTACCAACAGCACCCCTGACCACATCCAGTGGGGGAAGTAACAGAAAATATTATCCAGCAGGATCCTTCTCAAGACACAAGGATCATGCACAGAAGTGGTGCCAAGGTCCTGAGGAGGAAGAGCTGCTGAGCTCAGCATTGAAAGATGATTAGGACTTCTACAGATCCACAAAAGGAAACACCCTCTTTGAGGTGACTTGGCACAAGCTGGCAAAGCTAGGATTCATTCTGTATAGGTAGAGCCCCATGGTGGGTAGTGGATGAAGCTGGTGGGATGCAAAGCAGGCTGGGGATCAGTTGATAGAGAACTGTGAGTGTCTGGATTTTGTTGTGAAAGTCATCGAGAACCACTGACGTACTTTCAGAGGGGAAAATGATTTGGTCAGATTCACATTTAAGAACATCTGCCATGAAGCAATTAAGCTTGTATGAGAACTTGTATATTCATTTAGTTGGCTAATAATTCTAGGGGTTGGAGGATAAAATGTCTATCTGCAGAGACTTTTACTACTCTCATCTCAATTATCACTTGAATTTGCGGATGTTGAACTAATGTACTGAGTCTTATGAGTCATCAGCCCCTGCAATCCAGTAAGACAATGGAAGTGAATAAACAAACCCAACTTCCATTACCTAGATCATTTTTCCTTTTTATGCTTCTCAAAGTAATTATTAACTTGTACAGTTCAAAGATCAACTTCACTGGTAAGTTAAAGGCTAATGTATTTTCTTTCCTTGTCTAAGAATACTATGTAGAGTTGAGACAAAAGAGAAGATATCAGAGAAAATGTTTTATAAGTGGGTTTGGTTCTTAGCTGGTATTGAGAACAAAGCACCTTGGTAGCTCCCCTCTGTCACTCTTGTCTCGGTCCCAAACTTCCCTAGGAAATTCACTTATAGAGATTCCAAGTTCACTTAGAGAGATCTTATGAAAATAAAGTAGAGTCAGAGATATTTTTTCCCCAATGAGAAGTTAATCGCCTTCAGAATTCTTTATTCTTAGGTGTGTGGAGACCTAAACGTATAAACTGAAATACTTCTACTCCAAGATGATGGAGTAGAAGTATTTTAGTTTAGTCTTGTGATGACTCACAAGACTCAGTACATTAGCTGAAACTATGGGTGAAAACTATCCACAGTGTATGGACATAACGTGATTATAAAATACTGATTTTAACTTATGTGTAACCAAGAACAGTCTTTTTTAAAACCAATTTAAACTTGAAATATTTCTCTCATTAATGCACAATCTGTTTTTCATGATTAGGCCAGACCTGTTCATCTTTAGACTCAATCATGTCTTTCACTGTTCTCTCATCTCCACAACTTATTTGGGGGGTATGACTATTCTTTACTGGATGGAGAAGGGTTAACTTAAGATCCGCATACAGCCTTTTCTTAAACATACTGTTGCCTGACAGCTGCCTGTGAGAAATTAGGAATTTTTACTACACAGTAAGGGAGAAACATGGGAAAGATCTGGACGCTGGTAATCCACCTCCCCTCACACTTACAGACTCCACAGTCACTGAAGCAATCACACATGCCCGTCTGCCAGTTGGAGTTTTGGGGCGCACGAGTAAATCCAGGTTGAGTCACAATGACTGTGGGCTGATTTTGCATTTCCAAGGAAGGTCTGAAAAGGAAAATGTTGGCATTAGCAGCTGGAGGTTGAAAGGCTGTCTTCTGCTGCATTGCGCCCCACGGGCGAGCGAGGCAGTTTAGATGAAGTTGCCTGTTGATCTTTGAAGAACATGATTTCTGTTTCCACCCCTCAGAGGACAGGGGGCCCCAGGGGAAAGGAATTCACTGAACTGGTAAGGTGAACAGGTGCTTCTCATGGGGCACAGGAGGGAACAGGGTTGTTCATGTACTATTTTTAGACAGGTACCTGGTATCCACGAGACAAGGAAACAAATGACTGCCCTGTGATAGTGAATCATGGCAAGTAGTGAATTGTGGAAAGGCGTCTTCTCTGATGTTATATCATTTTAAGCTTAAGTGTGCATTCCCTCCTTCCTCTTTCTTTCTTTTACTGTTTTTCTTTCTTTCTTTGTTTTTGGTAGCACTGGGGGCTGAAGTCAGTGGTGCTGTACCACTGAGCTACATCCCCAGCCCTTTTAATTTTCTTTTAAGACAGGGTGTTGCTACATTCCTGAGGCTGGCCTTCGACTCAGGATCCTCTTGCCTCAGCCTCTCAAGTCTCCTGGGTTATAGGCATGCACCATCATACTCAGCTACCCTTCCCTTTCTTGCTCCTTTATCTTGCTCTCTCTAGTTTGGGCTTTGTTTCTGATTAGCAGTCCTCTTCAATCTCCCTGCATCCAGGCTGATCCATCACTTCCAGTTTACTGAAAGCCTGGGTCCTTTTGTCAGTGCTGGTTTGACAGACTCTTGCCACATTTTAGGGGTAAGCCCCGAGAGTATGTCCCAGCCAAGTTCCCTCCACCCTTTGGCTCTAGGGAATGAACCCAGAGCCTGGAGAATGCAAGGCAAACTCTACCACTAAGCTGCACTTCTGGCCCCCAGCAAGGTTTGCATAAACATATTTTTTTAAAAAAAATATTTATTTATTTATTTATTTATTAGACATAGATGGACACAACGCCTTTATTTTTATGTGGTGCTGAGAATCAAACTCGGGTCCCACCCATGCTAGCGGAGCGCTCTACCGCTGAGCCACAATCCCAGCCCCACATAAAACATATTTTGTTAGGTTGTTCCTAACTTCACTCCATAGTGAGAGGCTGTGTGAGGTCATGGAACGTGAGTAAGATTTGAAGTGGGAACATCTTTGCTCACATCATGGTTTCTGAAACTTTGTGATCTTAGATTAGTCATTGAACTAGACACATGAATTTCCATTTATTAATGTGTAAAATGGGAATGGTTTCTGACCTGCCCAGCTCCCATTATCTCTGTGGATGAATTTAATGAACATTATCCTCATCAAACAAGGGAAAATACAGGGATCCCCAACCTCATCCAAGATTGACCAAATTATGTATGTGCGTGTATGAATATGGCATAATGAATCCCACCATTACGTGTAACTATAATGCACCAAGGGGCTGTGGCTGTGGCTCGGTGGTAGAGCACTTGCCTGGCATGTGTGAGGCCCTGGGTTTAATCCTCAGCACTGCATGTAAATAAATAAAATAAAAGATAATTTTAATTCACTAAGAAAAAAATTTTTCAAAGAATCAAAAAAATATAAACAAAGTTGGCCACAATGTACAAAAATATAGAAGGGAAATGTCTTGATGATTTTCATAAACACTTGTTGCCTGGTATAGCAGCTAATATTCATTAAGTTTCTACATTACATCAGGCATGATATTGGAATCACACTGCCCCTTTAATCTCCAGAACAGTTCTGCAAAGTAGAAATTATTATCTTGTTTTTTTTTTTTAGTAGATAAAGAAATAATAGCTCAGAGAAATTAAGTAAATAGTAAAATTCAAGTTCTTTCTGGCTCGCTCCACAGGCTCTTTTTCTCCCCTTGCCTGCTCCCCCTAGCACTTATGACCGTGTGACATTGCCACTGGTTTGTGGTGACCCCTTGGAGAACAGGAACTTTAGCATCAAGATCCATTTTGGGTCCTCAGAGGTACTTTCAGTTGTCTTATAGAATGAAGCACTTACAATATACATGACTCACAGTGTGCTAGATAGATACTGGGATGTAATACATTTCCACTTAGGAATTCAGCACAGGGCTGGGGATGTGGCTCAAGTGGTAGCGCGCTCGCCTGGCATGCCTGTGGTCAGGGTTCGATCCTCAGCACCACATACAAACAAAGATGTTGTGTCCGCCAAAAACTAAAAAATAAATATTAAAAAATTCTCTCTCTCTCACACTCTCTCTTTAAAAAAAATCAGCACATATTTATAAAAGCACAAAAGAAAAACACTAAAAATTTTAAAATATAGTGCCTCTAGATACTTTAGCAATGTTATTATATTCCTTGTTCTCCTATGTTCTTTCCCACATAGACCAATTTCAAAAACAGACAAGTGGCCTCTATTTTTTCATATTATTTTGCACTTCTCCTATTTCTTGAATTAGCCGCTTTCTTTCTAGATCTCATTACTTAGAAACACCTGCTAGCTTGGTAGTCCCCTTGAACAAGAAAAGAGAGCAGTATATGAAATCAAGAAGAGTTTGAAAAGCTAAGCAATGTCTCAGTTATTTCTTCACACAATGGGAAGTGAATGATAGAGATGCTTCAAACATGTCTAAGGCTGTAATTGTAACTTAATTAGACCTGGTCTTACAGATGGTTCTCTGAATCCTAGCAAATAGCCACATGCTAAGGATGCTTGGTTATTCTGGAGGAGGATATAAAGTTGTTTAATTAAAAAAAGAAATAGACTTAAAATGTTATTTTGAATATTTGTATCTGTTGAACATAATCATTATCAGTAGATACCTACTGGCACTTCTCCTTCCCATTACTGAGTGTAGTATCAAAGCACCATGCAATTTTTTTTTTTTTGTGGGGCAGGGAGGGTTGAATTCTGGAGTGCTCTACCACTGAGATACATCCACAGCTCTTTTTATTTTTACTTTTTAGATAGGCTTTAAGTTCCCCCACTTGGCTTTGAACTTACATGAAATATAATATATATATATATATATATATATATATATATATATATATGTGTGTGTGTGTGTGTGTGTGTGTGTCGTGGATAATGAGATCAAGGTTCAAAGTTTTTCACTGTTAGAGAAAGAAGTTACAGATAAGGAAAAGAGGAAGGCTAGAATGAGTCCTGTGCTGTGCTGTTAGATTGGAATAAAGGTATGAACTCATGGTTACACACACACACACACACACACACACACATATACCACACACTGTTTTAAAGATCACAAGTCCTCCTGTGGGTCTTTCAAGATCATTCCAATATGGCTTTGACCAAACTTCAGGTTTGTGACCAAACTACAGGTGCATACGATGGCATAATGAATGAGCTGAAATGCACCTGTAGTTACAGCAACTTAGGAGTTTGCAGTAGGAGGATCACTTGAATCTAGGAGAGTACAAGGCCAGCCTGGGAAACATAGTGAGACTCTGTCTCAAAAGAATGAGAAAAAATTAAACAGATAGGGCAGTATCAGCACTTGGGGACCCGCTGAGGCACCAAATATATATATATATATATATATATTTTTTTTTTCCTGGTTCCTGGACCATAACTTCATCCTCAAGGCAGGTTGTAGAAACTAGAATTTCCCTTCTCCAAGGCAAATCATAAAACTCTAATTTTCCTCCATCTTTCTAAAGTGGTAGTTGGCCATAAAGAATGACCTCTTATTTGAGAAGGAGTCTGGCCCCATATCCCAGAGAAGGAATGAATCTGAACAGATAGCCTTGCTGACTTTCCCTACCCAGTCTATGAACCATCATGGCTATGCAATGAAGTCTCCATAAAAACCTGAGAGGAAGGGTTGGGGTTGTAGCTCAGCGGTAGAGCACTTGCCTAGCATGGGATCAAACTGGGTTTGATCCTCAGCACCACATAAAAACAAATACATAAAATAAAGGTTAAAAAAAAAAACCAAGAGGACAGAACTGGAAATCTTGTGGGCAGCTGTGGAAGTACCTGGAGAGTAGTACCCCAAAGAGAACATGAAAGCTCCACGGCCTTCCGCATATCCTGCCCTATGCATCCTTTAATCAGTGTTCATTGCAATATCCTTTGTGATAAACTGGTAAGCATTAAGTGTTTCCTTGGGTTCTATGAGGTGCTCTAGCAAATTCATCAATCCAGAGGACAGGTTATAGTAAACCTGATTTATGGCCAGTCAGAAGCACAGGTAAAACTGCGCTATGTAAACCGCTATGACTGGCATCCAAAGTGGAGTGAGGACAGTCTTGGGGACTGAGCCCTTAATCTGTGGGATTTGATGCTTTTTCCAGGTAGTTCTGACACTTCAGAACTGAACTGAATTAGACAACACCCAGCTGGTGTCTGGCGCAGAACTGATTGATTGCTTTCTGGCTGGGAGAAATCTTCACACCTTTTGAGGTCACAGAAGTCTTTTGTGTTGATTGTTGTGGTGTGAAGGCAAAGGGAAAACTATGTTTTTATAATACAAAGATGCCAAAATCAGTCACCTTTGAAAGTGTGATGAAAAACAAGATATTCATATGATATCAAAGTATCTCCCCACAAGAAACTATTTATAAAAGGGGAAAATCATGACTTACAGTGGAGAAATCTGGCAGACACTTGACCAAGTGATCAGTTAATATTACCATCAATGGGACTTAATGGTGTCATATGCCTATTATGACTGAAAGGCACAACATTAATTTTCTGCTATTCCTGATGTAAATGTATTCTCAGAATCTCATTATAAGAAAGTATTAGACAAGCATCAGTTGAAGGATATTCTACAATATAACTGCCCAATACTCTTCAAGGTTGTCAAGGTCACAAAAGAGAAGTGCAGACTAAGGAAATGTTCTGGATTGAAGGAGACATGGTGATCACATGCAATGTGGGATCCTGAATTGAATCCTGGAACAGAAAAGGGACTGTCAGCACTGTCCAGCCAGAGACTATGAAGAGTAACCATAGCTGAACAAGTAGGGCTTATTACTTGTACAAGAGCTTATTAGTCG